TGACCCACAAGCCCTGAAACTTTTTGCAGAAATTCTAGAGCATGTTCGTTGGAAGAACAACCTGGATGACGAACAAGAAGAGGTTGTGTACCTACCCCAGTATATCCAACTGGCCCCAACTGTGAAAAGGATGAAAAGAAAAAGTCCGCCCCTTGTACATCCAATGGCCCCAGTAGTTCCTGGCCCGAAGGTTCCCCCACCACTGCCACAGTGCAAAAAGGACCCGACCATTGAGATAATTGACCTATATCTTGCGCCGGAAGTGGCAGCCGAGGTCAGTAACGCTGATGCTGAAATCCCTCTAATCGACAGTTATATAGAAATCCTGGAAACTTGGATGACTAAACCGAAAAAGCTTGAGGAACCCAAACTTGGAAACCGTGGATACTACTATCAAAACTCGGCCGAAATGAATCGTGATAATGAAAAAGGCAACCTTGAGTATTGCTATAAAAATGGAATGGTAGTCGAGAAGGATAAACATAAGATGATCATTGACAATCATGCTGATGAGCCGAACAGTCCCAACGATTGTTTCTACGATGAGACTGGAGACGAAATGGACGATCGTAAGACATTCAGTGACCCTCAAGAACCTGCTGCTGCGGATTGCGTTGATAACGAAACTGACCAAACCTACTGCCAAAATGGAATCAGTCCTAAAAAGAATGACCATGAGGCATTCGTTTATTATCAAAAGGCTGCAGATACGGGTGATATTAATGGAACGTATAACCTTGGACCTTGTTATGAGAAGGATAAATATGATACACTTACCCATCGTCAAAGCTCAGATGAGATGGGAAACGCTGACGAAATATATAGCATTGATAACTGTTACCAAAATGAAAAAAATGAAACATGCCAAATGGACGATGAGGAGAATGAAGACCCACCTGATCCGAATGATGAAGCAATCTTGATAGATTACCAAGGACCTGCCGATATGGAACGTGCTGATGAAGGAAATGACCTTGGACCCTGCCTTCAAAATGGGATTGGAGTTGAAAAAGAGAAGCCCAAACCATTTGTATGGTATCCGAACAAAGCTGGAAATGATAGTTCGGAAGTACATAATCTTGGATCTTGTCATCGAAATGGAATTGACATTGAAAATAAAACGCCCATGTATTACCAAAAGTCAGCAGACACGGACTATGAAGATGAAGCGATTGAACTTGGCCACAAGGACGAAATGGAGATTGAAAACAATGAAGTCGATGGTATTGATGAAAAGAGCAATCAATTGCCTGACGAAAAATCCCTGCTTGAGCCCTCTAAAAGTGCATCTAAGAAGGACACAATCCCGGATTACACTCAAAAGCCGTCGGAAGGAAAGGAATTGGAGGTATTTAGAATTATATGCCAAGACTACTCCACTGAGGACTCAGAGGACGACGAAGGGCTAATTTTCGAGGAAAGTGAAACCTGGGACCCTGGCTATGCGCATAATTTCCACCTAGGTCATAGTGAATGTTGGTGGAACACCAACATTGAGGAAGAAATGTTCTATGACACTAGAATCGACCCTGAAGACCCCGAATGGCTGTTACCTTTGGACGACGACGCAGAAATGGATTGGGATTACTAATAATATACCGGAACAAAAATAGAAAGTGGATTGTTGTTACTAAAAATATATACATATATAAAAAAAAAAAAAAAAAAACATAAAATTTTAATTTAGTTGTAAACTAGGCGCTTGAGATGTTTAAAGGGAGTTATAAATTTGATGTGTATATCTGTATATTATAGCATATTTTTATTACAATTTTATTAAAATTTTTTTTTGTAACTTTGTATAAAATTTGGTAAATCAAAATTTCATTTAATTATAATTTGGAACACATCATTTGTTTTTAAAATCAAATTTTCAGTGATTTAGGAATTAGAATTTGGATTATAT